TGCAGGAAATACAAAGCTTAACAGTCAGGTACAGCTTAATCCCAAACGAAAATGGTTCACTGTGAAGCAGAGGCGGCGGAGCGATTTCAATCTAGAGTAGGCTCACCTTTTTTTGGAAAAATAATATCTGCCCATGGAAAAATGCAGGATTCTTTATAAAATTTCTACAAAATTTTCCTTAAAATACTTGAGGTTCTGAATTTTGAATAGACTACGATATACGTGTTTTCATTTGAGGTAGTTATTCTTGATATTTTTGAGAATGTCATACTAGTTCATATGTGGTTTTCCTCATTGCTTAAAAGGAAATCACCGAGATAGATATTATCGGCGTAGTCTGCCTTGCTATTGAGCTTCTTTGCATGGATGATGTGGTCGTGGATGAATAGGTTCGAGCGTGGATGTTAATGGGAAAAAATGCATATTCATACGCACAATAAGGACATACACTTTCGAGATATTTATTAATTAAAGGATTCCCCTTCGTAGAGTTATAAAGATTGATGGATAATTATTCAAGATATTGACTTTACACAGATTAGAAAATAGCAATAATTCCAAAAAAACATGTATTCTGTTTAAAATATTATCCTACATAAATGAAACAAAAGAATCCCTACATGTAATATTTATTTTTGTTCCGTCAATTCAAAAGGATAAACAAATTAAGAAGAAATCGAATCTAATAATACTTACAGAAATGATTCTGGTTGTAAATTCTGAAATATCACAACCATGCAATTTATGTCATCGTCTCATATATCTTTCCACCATAGATATAGAACCAACAGCTAATCAGTCATTACAGCCACCAAAATGATGTTGATCTGAAATAGCTACAATTGAATTATTTCAATGTTCTAATATTCTATTAACTAGAGCAAGAACTAAATATGGTATATTCATTTTATGTTCATATTCCTTCACTATATCAAAACATTCAGCAAGTGCTCACAATTGTTGATGAAGTGCCAAATTTCTATTTCAATTTCTAATATACATGTATTATGCCCTGCATGTTTGTTAACATGTTCCATGAAGATTCATTTCGGTACAACTTAGTTGCATATCGTTATGTTCGATAGAATCTTCAATTGACAAGTGAAACAAATCGTTACAACCAAGCAGTTAAGAACAAGATAACAATACAGAAGAATAATGTTATTCATCTCATTCATTAAATTTTTGGTTTTTGATTCATCAGTTAATCTGATCGGAAGAAATACTGCATAAAAATTACACGTTCTAAAATTTGTATCTCTATAAGGTGTGCACCATCCGGGAGCCGCAAAGTTGAGCACGAGGAAAGATGAGCATGGAAAGTTAAGCACTGGAATAATGAGCACCGATAAAATGAGCACAGGAAAGTTGAGCACGAAAAGAAAACTTATAAAGATACAGTATATTGACTGACGAATAAATTTTATTTATATTCTATAAAAAAAAACAATTATAATGTAATATTATTAGCGATTGAGTCGAGTTGAGTTAGAATATTCTGATGGGGATTTGAAATTAGACGTAATAGTCGTTTTTCAAAACGTTCATTCTTCTTCTTGCTTTTTGGTACTTGTCCAGATCTTATATGAACTCTTTGAATTTTGACAATTTTTTGTTTGAATTTGAATTTTATAGGGACAATTAATTGCATTCTCTCTATTCATGTAGTGTGAATAATTAGATTATTATACAAAATTTGTACTTCTTATATTCATGGAGTTATGTTATATATGATCTAATCAACATAAATTGGTTTATACCTATTCATTATTTTCTCATTTTTTTTGTTTCGTGCTTATCTTTCCTGTGCTCATTTTATCGGTGCTTATTATTCCAGTGCTTAACTTTCCGTGCTCATCTTTCCTCGTGCTCAACTTTCACCAATCCGCACCATTCCTTTGTTTCAATCATGAATATGGCTTGTGTCAATGATATTCTTCAAATAAAAATTATGTGATATGAATTATTTTTTGATGATTAAATTTATTGCAAAGATTAAAAAAAAATGACATTCTTGATTTTTTCATATGAGGATTAATGCACAAAAAAAGAAACGAATGAAAAAAGTGAAATAAAACGAACTCTTTTTTACTTAAAAAGCAGAAGCACGAACAAATGTTTTTCTATTGCGAGCATATACTTGTTCTTTAGATGTTGTATGATTAGCTGAAGTCGAGTCATAGGTTGTGTTCTATGCCGATTCATTACTATTCGATCATGCATCAATAGTATCGCTGTAGCGTGGTTTTACGTAAACGAAATTCGTTTTCACGTCGTTGGTAAATTGAGCTCTATTTTCATCGAAAAGAGGACCTGATCTAGCATTCGGAGAACCAAAATACTGAGTAGCTGTAAGATTATAAATAAATAAAAATCATATGATGAACATTTGAAAAAATAAAAAACAATTATCATCAAACCTGGTTGTTGTGGTTGAACAAATGGAGCTACATCAACATTAGGTGGTGGAGGTGTACCTGAACTAACCAATGACGCATATCCCCATTTAATCAGTTGAGCAACAGAAAATCGTTGACCATAAAAGTTGATCAATGGTGGTAAAATATAATCTGAAACAAGAAAATAAATTTCTTTTTTTTGGATCGGTTAGTTCATAAATACTTACAACCGCCTGTTGGTGAAAAAATGATTGTTTGATAGGTAGATTTATCAAAGAAGATTGGAAGCCATGGAGAAATCGACATAAGTGTTGGGAAACGTCCTGATGAAGAAAAATAAACAATTGCACCTATGAAAAAATAAAGAAAACAAGTTAAACTTACGAGCAGGAAATCGACGACGATTAGGATAGTGACGAACAGGAAAACGAATACGTATTAACTTGCGTTTTTTCTCTTGTTTTATTTTCTTTGAATCATTATCTTCGCTTTCATCTTCATAGTCCGTATCTTTGCTATACTTTTCCTTGTCACGAAAGTTCACAACTTGACCTCCCTGATATCCTGACTGATCATACGATTCCCAACCATCACCAAAGGCAACCCAAACATTTATTGATTCCAAAGGTGATTTGCCAGTTTTATCCGAATTATCACCACGACGATTTCCTCGGCGTCTCTTTTTTTTCTAATTTAGATTAAAAACAAAATAATTAAAACAGTGTGAATATAAAATGAATTACTTACGTTGCTTTCCTCTGAATTTATGTAAAAAATGAGACAGAAAATTAGAAAATAATTGAAGAAAATAGCGATATACAGAACTCACGTGGTTTACGTGATCTTCTCGTTGTTGCAGCTAAAATAAATTTAAAAAAATATAATAAGAGAATGCACATAAAAATAAATGAGACTGACCCGGTTCTGCTGTAGTTTGCACCATTGTAGCTAAATTATATATCAAAGGAAACATCATATAGAGGATAGATACGAAACGAAATCCGACTGACCTGGTTCTGCTGTAGTTTGCACCATCGTAGCTAAATTATATCAAAGGAAACATCATATAGAGGATAGATATGAAAAGAAATCCGACTGACCTGGTTCTGCCGTAGTTTGCACCATTGTAGCTAAATTAAGTTAAAATAAATAACAAGAAAATGATTTATAAAATAAAAAGAAACTTGAACTGACTTGGTGCGGCTGAATCTGTAACTTCTGTAACTAAATTATATATAAGAAAAAGAGTGAGTGCACATTACTCAAAAGCATTAATAATGATGCTGAAAAATGATTTTCTTCTTACCTTCGCTAGCTTCTGTATTGGTTTCACAGCTAACACCTTCACATAATGTATCAGCAACAGTTGTAGCCTCTGTATCATCATCTTCTCCATTGACAAAAGCAATGGAGAACATCAGTAACATCAAAATAACGCTGCCACATACAAGAGCCTATTTCAAAATTTAAAATAAATCAGAAATAAGTAACTTCCAATTGAACAAAGTCCTACATACCTTTGAATGCATCGTTCTTTCTTTGTAACAATTTTTGAAATTATAATAAAATTAATTAGAAGCATCCTCTTTTTATAGTCTGTTCGCGTTCTCCATCACGCCTCCTCCATCATGTTTTTAGCATTACTATCTGCCTACAATAGGAGAAAAAAGAACAATTGAATCATTTGTTTAGACGAACGAACTGATAATACAGATATTTTTCTAACGTCATGTGCAAAAATTTTTATTAAAAAGAATTGTTTTATTAGGTATTCGAATAAAACAGTCAGATCTTAATTTTTCGAATTTCAAATATCATAAAAACTATTTTTTCTATGCAGGTTTTTGTACGTGATGATAATGGATTTCTTGTTAATCGAATTCTTATTGAAAAGATGACGCCAGAAAAATTGTAAGAACTAAGACTGAATAGAGTTTTTCATGCTGGACATTGATTATTATAAGGAAAAGTTTCTAACAAACAGTAATAATTGTGATTGTTCTTCGCATCAGAAAGTTACACAGATATTTTGAGGTCAGCAATGATTGGGATAGAACTCATAGTAATCAAATAAATATATTAAACATTAACCATTTATGAATAGTAGAAAAAAAAACTCCCTGGCAAATTCCAAGGCCATCCATTATTACGGTTGCACTTGTACCTTGACTCTCTTATCTTTTTGTAAACCAGACTATTTAGAAACGAATCATCACTTCGCAATTCATAAGGATAAGAAATCAAGCTGGATTTGCTTTTGTCTGACGTAGTTGTCCTGCTCGATTCTATGATGTCATCATAACTATTTTAGGTAAGCGTATGAAAATAGGATATTTTTTACATGATCGATAAATGATGTTAAAAAATGTTCTGCCAGTTAAATAAAATTAATGTTTGAAATTTGAATTTCAGCAATAATTTATATTCATTTTATTCTTTAATATCTTACGTTAATTGAATCAAGTGTTTTATTTTCATTAACCATCAAAACAAAAGCTGTTTGTTGAGAATTTACAAAAATAAAAGTATCCACATAAGTCAGAATACCGAGAGAACTGCTGTTCAGTGAACAATTACAAATTAATCTTTAGCAAAAAACAATGATACCGCGTAAATCATATAACAATTGATTTTGATGTAGACTATACATAATGGAATTGACTAAGAATATTCCATGCCGATATAGTATATGATGAATTCTCAACGAACATTAAAATAGAAAAAATATATTCGTATGACTTTTATTGCATCATTTAATCTCATATTCTAGTCAAAATTAATAAAGATCGAAAATTCAATAGCTCACAGTTTCTTATTTTTTTTAGCTCTTGTCATCGACTCTATAGAAATCGACGAAATAGTCTAAATTAATATGATACTCCTTACGAGCACTAATGTCTAAAAATTAAGTTCTAGGCAATGAGTCTATACTATATCGTCTTTCAGAGAATTGTTCACGCGTTTTTTTATTCACTCTGCTTTTGGGAAATTTTTCAGGCCTCTAGAATATTAGCTAAGAACGCATGAGCTACGAATTCAACAAAACTTTTGAACTAATATTTGAAAAGAAAATAATATTTTTCGCAGATTTTTTACAAGCTGCCAGCAAACGAAGCTAAAAGAGCGAACGGATCGTTTGATGAACTTATTGACGATCATTTATTAAATTACTTAATTATTTGATATAATGGTTCATTGGAAAAGTGAATCTATTAAATATTATGCTGAAAAATGCATTATTTGTAATTCTTAAGGCGAATATAGGTTTTAGTATAGATTAAGGAAAAACTGAACTTTAAAACTATTCATTTGTGTACAATTACACGATACAACTTGACAGCTATTCATCTGTGACATAATCAAGATTTACAATAAATTGAATTATTATATGATATTCACGTAAAATCAATACAAATAGTTTGGTTGGAAAGAAATAATTTTTTTTGCATAAATTAATATTGTGTAACTTTTCTTTTAGAGCATTTGTCGTGCGTTAGAACTAGTTGCATCAGTTATTCAATTATAGGATAGACCAACTTTATGTTTATATATTGTTTTTTGTTTAAAGTATGAAAAATCCCAGAAATATAAAATGCATCTAGTTTTATCGGAAATTGCCCATAAGATTTAGAAAAAAAAGAATAGATAGCAGTCATATGACAAGCACAATAAATGAGACTTGTTTTCGATGCATCAGTAGTATACTTATGGCTCGAAACAAGAATGGCCTAACATATTCTGACTAATTGCCAGATAGTTTATTCTTCAAGATAAAAGAATTTTGTTTACAAATTCCGAGTACTCAGAACTAGTCGTTTGCCAATTACTACAGTACAATTTCTTTTTGAATCGTTAAATTCTTAGAAAAATCGATAGGTTCTGTTGTTATAAGATCAATCAAATGCAGTTTTTCCAAAGCAAAAAATAAAAACAAACAAATCCATTCAATGATGAACATGCCTCTTTCAAATCCGAAAGATACTCATATTATTTGTATATTGTATCCTTGTTCACCTATATTCAACAATGACCATATACGCACACACACACACACACGCATGTACATGAAAAGTGACGATGTACCGAAGAAGAAAAAAACAAGGGATAGAGAGACCATTCAAGGAGTAAGAAAAAGAAAACTTTAATAATCATAAACAAAAAACAGCTATATACAAAGAAAAAGCAGAAGGGGAAAAAGAAGACACATTTACTGATGTATCGAGTCACAAAAACAAACGAAAAGAAAGCAATAAACAGGACACTAAATGTATTCGAAAAACGGTGACGAAACAAAAAACAGACACAAAATAATGAATGCGTTTTCGAAAATTATCACCATATAGGTGGCGGCTGAGGTTGCTGTTGATTAAGATTGTTATTTTGCTGAACATATTTGGCTAACTGTGCAGGTGGTCGAAAACGATTTGCATTAGTCTAAAGAAAACAAGAATTCATACTATTTCATTATAATTGATTACTAGGACATATTTTCCAAACTATTGCCTCCCTTACGACGCATCAATTAAGAATGATTCATATGTCCAGTAAACAGGTAAAACTAATATCGTATGGATAGAAGAGATGATTTCTGATCGAATATATTTATTTTGATTTTTTTGTGAATCTTCTATTCATATGAATAATCAAATGAGACCATTTTATACGCGTAGAAGAGCACATGAACAAAATTCATTAGATTTATGACTTCTATTAATTGCGTAAGTAACCTATGTTTGATAAGCAACATGAATGAAAAGCAGTTTATGACATATTTCAACGGTATAATGCATTTATTATTTTATTATATGATAAGTATTACTGAGTACCATCGACTATTTAATCAGTATTTCTATTCACTTCTTTTTTAGTAGAGTACATTACACTGTATGCTCTCAAATATAGACTATTATACTTGAATCTTATATTTTCTAGCATGATCGGATATCTAGAGTTAAACTGATTCATGTTGTAGGATGAAATTAATTTTTTTATTTTAGAATTACGAGGAGAAAAACCAATATAAAAAGAAAAATAAAGCTTCTTTAGTATTAAATGAGATATTCTTAGAAGATGAAGAGATTGAGCATTATCAGTAATATTATAATATCAATGTTAGCAACTATTTTCGGATCTTTTCTTACATACAAAGAGTATATTTGTTATAAAATATTTCCATCAATAAATTTCAGTTTTCTTCAACGATTCTAACTAATTTTGAGATGTATGGTTTTATTTTTGGGTTTCGAAAGAACGCTACCCATTGGCATGTAGAATCATTACCAATTCAGTGGCAATATTTTTCACTCCGAAAAGGAATTCTATGTATCTTTTTGATGATTCCTGATAAGAAAATTATTTCAACTGAGAATACTGCTACTAAACCTGAGAATAAGCGTATCAGCATTAATAGGGGGAAAAGGTGTTCACCATTGATACAAACAATTTGTCAGACCTACATTCTTATGAATGAAAAATGTCATCTTGAATAGTATACTCTGATGATTGAGTATACCCCTATAATTACAATCGAGAACTGACTAATTGCTGCGCAGCTTTCAACTGTAGATTTTCTTATTTTTACCTTTTTCTTTTTCGCTTTAAGAATATTTTCATCTCTTTCAAACAGTCCGATAGATCGTCCGTCAACAGTTCCTTGTTCATTACGTAATGCAGATGCAATACGTTTTGCCGCTGTTTTATTTAAATGATGTACATCGCGTAAATGACCAGTTAAATAACGCAATTTAACTGTCGATTGACATGGCGTATGTGGTATACGTTCTTGATGTGGTAAAACCGCATTATAATTACTTAATGGACACGATACATAAGCTGTTTCATTTAAGACTTGTTCATCAGGTCGAAATAATATTCTTTGACTAGAATTTTCATTTTTCATCATAGCTTTCACTAACTTCATAGCACTTGCACGATTTAATTGATGATATGCAAGAAAATGATCATATAAAGCAAAATCTTGTTGTTCAGCTGATGGCGAACATAAACGGATGCCATGCATTGGTCCGATACCGAATACATTAAGTCTTGTTAACGGACATGGTGCACGAAAGAATGATGGCAATATAGATACAATGGATGATTCAGTTGCTGATGAAAATAGTGTTGGATGATCATCAAGATCGCCGGATGATACGAAACGAACAATTTGCATTGATGCTGCATAATTTAAATAATGATATTGCTTAAGATGTTCAAATAAAGATATTTGAGAATTTGATCGACGAATACATGGAATATGACGAACTTGATGACGTTGTTCAATACCATAAGTATTGGTTGCTAATGGACAATAGTCACATTTGTAAGTTTTCAACTCTCGAACCTGCAACAGAAAAAAAAACAGCAAATTAGATAAATGATAATTTTAGATAATATAAAAGAATACCGTTAAGGAACTATGAGTTTGAGTGGTCTCCCTATAATTATAAATAATTAAGATTGTTTTTTGAAGAAAAAAAGAGATATATTTACATTTCTGGCAATTCTTCATCATTTTCTGTTAATTTGTCGGCTAGAATAAATAAAATCAAAGTTACTTACTACCATTGTTTTTCTTTTGGTGTTACTTACTAAGTGATGATGAAAGATCTAGATTTGAATAAGTAGTTGATGAAGGATCTAAATATAGAATCTTTGTTATTTTCTAATCAATAAGACTATTATGTGAGAATAGCAAATGTAAACACCAAATGAAGTATTAATTATGAATGACAATCGTATACTATGTGCATACTCAAAACTATGTTGCTTTTGATAATTCATAGAATTCTGGTAAAACTAAAAGAATATAATCCTATGATTTATTTACTACTAATCTGTTTTAAAGAAAAGTGTCCAGCGAATGTGTCCAACTATAATTTTATTCAGAAAATTACATTCTCGAACATGATAGTCTACAAAAAAATAGCTAATTTTAATAATCAGTTGATTTATAGTTGAATTGCATCAGACTAGAAACAATGTAATGAAAATAAATAGATGTGATTTGACTTTGTGTTAGATCGATACTACCAAGGGATTCACGTTAATGTTGATGCATGCTACTTTTCTCTGGTGGAAATTTTTTTTTATTTTCACCTATTTGTATTGTCTGTCATCGTTTTCTATGTACTCGGAGGTGAAATACTTTGCATCTGATCCGAATAACAAACATACTTAATAAAGAATGCAACTACGACCTAGCGTTACTGTGCAATCCATCATAAAATTAACATATGACACTAATAAAAACAATTGTTAATCACTAGCGAAAATTCAGCACAAAAAATACTATGCGCGATTTTTTAAATTCTCAATTAGGATATTAAAATAAATCAGAATTAAAATATTAAACAAAAATTATCTAGGACTGATATATATAGGTAGATATTATGAAAGCTTTTCTTCATACTACAACGAATCGTGTATTATCTCTCTATAATTCACAATAAACAGATTCGTTTTTAATTGTCAAATATTCATGGCAAATGAAACACTACTAATTTTTATCTACTCAAAAGACGAATAACGTTTTAAAAGAGATAAATGATTATTATTACTTTGTTCTTGTTTAAGATTCACCAATGAAAATATTCTGGAATCTATGATAAAAAGAAGAAATGAATAATTTTTTTATTTCTATTTTCAATACGAACCTCCAAATGTACCATATACACTTTCATCATTAAACGGAGCATTACTAGTGTTTGTAGCTAAAATAAAATTATGATATTATTTTGATCAAAACAACAAATTCTACTACTCACCTGTTGCTGATTCGTGTTCACCAATAAGTTGTCCAATTTTATCAATGACAGGTAGGAATGCAGCTGTTTGTTGTAACCGTGCCAGACATGAACGCATATTAACAAAATCGTCTGGTCCAATACTATTTGTTATTGATGTTTTTGATTGTACATAAGCATTCAGTTGTCGAAAATGTTCCATTTCATTATCAAGGACTTGATTTAATTTTAAACGTTGCTCAGCTAATCGTTTATCGAATGATGCTAATTGTGCTTGCTGTCTTCGTGCATCATCCAGTAAACGTTGAAAATCACTTGGAAACTGTTGTTGATGTTCAGCTAAATGTCGAATGCAGAGAAATAATTGACAGTGCCGACAAATAGTAAATTGATAGGCATCACATTGGGATTGTTGACATAATGAGGGAGATGATAATGTTGAAGACATGCCTTGATTTTCTTTTCTTCTTTAGGGAAGAAAAAGAAAAACTTTTTTCTAACCACAATGAAAAAAGTACGAACTGAAACGATGAACAGTAAACCAATCGATCAATTCAACCAGCAAAAAATAATAACTAAATAAATAAACAAAACAGCTGGAGAGCACAACTGAAACAAACAAATGAGTGACATCTATTTTACTATCGATATTCAGCGGCATCTAACATTGCTTTATTAAATCAAGAATTTAACTTGTATTAAGGAAAATGAAGTATTTTTGTGAATTATATTTAAGTGAATTTCATGTTTAATAGAGGTCGTCAAATATTAGCCAATGTCTGATTGGAGTTCGTTTCCAGCGAACAACTAAACATTCGAAAGAACTCGCGTTGGTCATCATTCATTCAAATTCAACATATATTAGACATTCGCAATGCCGAAAAAAGGCCGTTCGAAAAATAAAAGTCATAGTGGCGTGGATAAGAAAGGAAAAATATTAAAAACCAAACGAAAAACTATAGATTTCGATCAAGTTCAAGCAAATATGGCTGCTGAAACAGCTCGTGAATTGTTAAATCAACCGATTGACTATGATGTACCGGGTGCAGGTCAACATTATTGTCTTTACTGCGCGTAAGAGTATACAAATAATTCTAAAATTCGAATATATTCATTTTATTTGAAATAGACGATATTTTATCGATGACCACAATTTACAGCATCATATCAAAAGTAAAGTTCACAAACGACGAGTAAAACATTTACAAACTGAAGCATACACACCGGAAGAAGCTGACAGAGCTGCTGGAAAAGGACAATACCGGGCACCACGACCAGTTCATGTTCCAAAGGATCAAAATACTCTTTACAAGATGGAAACTGATACCGTTGAAAATGTTGTTTCAGTTGAAAATAAATAATATCGTTGCTTTGATATGTTAAGTCTTCTGATTTTTATTGATCTACGTCAGAATATTTTGAAAACTATATTTGTAAGTCTTTCGTTATCGAGAGATTCTCTCGAGTTGATTCAATAAATGCTGTTCTCTTTAATATCTATATTTGATTTAATCAAAATGTATCAAGACTGCATAGAACATTTGTAAATGATTTAATAGTGAACGAGTGAGTGACTCATAGAAACAACTATATATGCTAGTTATTATTTCAATTTCTTTGAATCTTAATAGATTTTCAATTGTTAAAAACAACAAAATCTGACTACTTCCAACAGAATGAGGAAATAAATAAATAGAAAATTTCGATCTTGAAAACGGACTTCATTATTTAATCAAGTTGAGACATCTAGAAGGTATTTTCCTTCCCTTCTTTCTTATGTTTTCTAAGTTTAAGACATATATAACATAATGTTTAGATATTTCCAATAAAAAATGCATTTAACTACTCAGAATCGTTCGAGATTACCAACTGTCGAAGATTCGTAGTATTAATGAGTTTCACAAGTTAGACAGCTAAGGTAATTATTTTTAAGTAGTCATTACCATTTGTAATATCTTTATATCACGATGCATACAAACTTGAAAAGCAGCTCATTAGTGTGATATCAAAACTGGAAATCAATATTTTTCCAAAGAATAAATATAGTATACGGTTTCTTTGACATACAGAATGAGTAGTGTACACAAGACACAAGAGATCTGATCCCATGAAAAAATATTACAGTCACATCTGAAATATGTAAAATTTATTATCATCGGACTGGCTTTTTGAAAGATATTTTCTGTCCAAATATACGAACTTCTTACAACGTAATTGAGTTTATTAGTGCAAATACGAATAATTCTAGTTATAGGCACTCGAACAAGGTACAAATTGATGTTATTTTATATTCTTCCCAAAACTGACGCAGTTATACCATAAATATAGTTGATTCTTCTCTATTCTCGCTCAATGAATAGTCTTTATTAATGAGTTTTCTCTAAACCAGTTAAATCGTCTAATTGAATCAGTTTCTCTGAAAAAAAAGGTTTGTTGTAAAATATCTCTGAACTAAACTCTTCTGCACAAAAAATATTTATGTTCTTATCTTCGATTGATAGTGACCTCTTTCGAACGATTCTAACATTGATCTGTTTGCCATGACCGATCTACAGGCATCCTTTCTTTTTCCTTTCTCTCTATTTCTTCTTCTTTTTGGGGTTGTTCTGACTACTGCGTTTGTTTATTTATTTATTGTGTTGCATAATTTGCAACAATGAATGGACTATAACCAATTAATAATTAAATTACTATATTGATATATATATACGTACATATATATTTATATATATAATTTGTTTCTAGTTTATTATATTTGTTATTCAAACAAGATTATGTTCATACGAGTAGCCGATGAAGCAAAATTTAATGAAATCGTCGAAATTCCAGTTGATGGTGGTGCAGAAGGATCCGTTTCTCTGAGCACACTCGCTGCTCAATTTCAAGGTGTGAGTGCATTGAAATATCGCAATTCTGAGACGAGTGTGTGGAGAGGGTGAGTGAACGTGTTTGTTTGTTGTTTTAGATTTTATGTGTGTTGAGTGAAATATGTGGTGGTTATATTCCTCCCCATTTTGCACTTTTTTTTTTATCTTTTATGTAAACCATAGTTGTATTTAATTTTTTTTTATACATAATTCTATTTTTATTTATCTCTCAGCGTTCGCGTAGTGGATGGAAAACTCTATCATCCAGATGGTACATGGGACCCAAATACAGTTTATGTTACTGTTTATTCGAAACGTAAGTTAATTACTTTCATGAAATAGAACAACAACAAATTTTTCATTTGGCTATTTTCATCGAATAATAGCTGTTTCATCAGATATTAAAAGAAAAGTAGTTGGTGAACAACAAGATGAAACAATCATACCGTCAATAGGACACAATTCAACGCAACAACTTGACTATGAACAAGAAACAAATAATATTCATAATGAAGTAGAAAGTGATCCAAATCGTCGTTGTGTTGATTTAATTGTACTTGGAATAAGTTATCGAAGTCTTGAAGCGGACGTTAAAAAATGTTTCGAAGCATTTGGTGAATTGATATTTTGCGAAGTAAAAATAAACCAACGAAAAAAAAACGACAGAATTTTTCTATCTTATATATTTCTATAGATCAAACGAGATGCTAACGGGCAATCGCGCGGTTTTGGTTTTATTAGATTTAAAAATTATGAATCTCAATTGGCCGTTATAAACAAACGTCATTTTATCGATGGAAGACATGTTGATGTTAAAATTCCAGATTCTAAAGTGAGTAGATTTCTTTCAGTTTTCACTGTAAAAAAAAATGCTAGCTATTTCCACTGTGTGGAAAATTGAGTGTTGCGAGTTATTTCTATCTCAGTAGAAACAAATTCTAAAGTAATCAATATCCTGATTGTATTAAGTGCAAAATTTACAGTTTAAGTTATTTTCTCGTATTTGAAAAAAATCTCTATGCTATATATTTCTAATATTAATTAGTAATATGAACATTTATTACTTTCATGAGATAAAGATAATTCTAATTCAACTACTAAATAGGATCAGCAAGCAATATAATAGTTCGAATTCTAGTATAATATATCGCTAATCTTTTGATACATTCATTTTAATATTAAAACTTTATTAATTTAACAGACAAATTTACAAGAACCAGAATGTGCTCGGAAAATTTTCGTTGCTCGTCTACCTGATAATATCGCACCAGATGATTTACGGCAATATTTTTCTAAATATGGAGCTATTAAAGATGTTTATATACCAAAACCAGCCCGTTCATTTGCTTTTGTTACTTTTCATGATTCAAATGTTGTACGAACATTATTTGGTACACATATTATAAATGGTAAGAAAAATTATTTTTAATTTATAGAAATTTTTTCTATTTAAAACAAAAATTTGTTTTTCTTTATCATAGGTTCCAGTGTAACAGTTGGACCAGCTGAACCAAAAAATAAAACATCAGCGATTGGTGATTATCCTTCATCGACGTTCAAACGAGCTAAACCTGATCATACTAGTTTACGTACATTAACGTCATATGGAATATCATCAACACATCCAAGTTATCATCAACAATATGGACAATCGCCAAATGCGGATATGATGCACGCTTATTTTCAACAATATCGAGCTAGTACGACTGGCTCATCGAAAGGGCCATTTTCTAATGCGCAACAGTCGTATTGGAGTGGTGCACACGATGAAGCAGCTGCAATGTGGCAACAGCAGCAACATTATCGATAGAAAATTTTACGAAAAAAAAGCAACTTTTTTTTTTTCAAAACTATAATTCGACTTTCCAATGGTTTTCTTTTTTTTTCTTGTCGTGTTTTTAAATGTGTATGTGCCTGTAAAGAGAGAAGAAGAATAAGAAAAGAAAAAATATATGGTCTTTGTCTGAATGTATATGATGATAAAAAAAAATAATAAAGAAAAAATATGCTCATTTTTTTATCAATAAATATCTCTTTATATGAAATTAAAAAAGAAAGTAATAGTCGTCTAAACCCATTTGATTGTTGCTGATTGTAAAGGTATTTGTGTTAGCGACCAAAGTTTATTTTGTTTTTTACGTTCAGTTATAACCATTTGAAGATAACCAATATTTAATGATAAAGCAAATAAATCATAGACATTTGGTTGTCGTCCAACTAAATCCCATGTTAAAGTATCAGGTGATGTGGCATGTGCAACAATAAGTATATTATCTAACGAAGAATCTCCATTTTCGTGACGTTGTTCGATTTCGCGTACAACGCATTTAGAGCGTAGATAATATTCATCTTCACGCTCTACTGACGCCACTGTCGATATAATAGGTTGATAAGATAAATCGACATTAATTCCATAATTATACCAATCAATTGATTTAAGAAAAATATGCATACCAAATCGTGCAGCACCCAATTCCAATAGACCAGGTTCAATGCGTATTGCTAATTTTCGTTCTAATCCAAGGCCTTTTAATATTTGATATGTTGTAAATATGCAACGCATAGCTGGTGATGAATAAACATATGATGGTTTATATTTATTCATGTTCAATACTCGGCCAACATGTTCTGCAGCGTTTAAGCCATCACGTGTTAATGGCGTATCTAATGCCCAAAAATATGGATTTAAACGGTATGGTAAATCTGGTGGAAGATTTGTATGATAAGGACGATATTGACCAAATTGATCGAATGCTGACATAAACCAATTTGAACCAAAATATCGGTCAACTCGTTCACCATGTCGAATAATAAATAAACGCATATCACACTGATCAAGAGGTTGTGCTGGCTGTTGTACTTGCTGTCGTTGCTGTTCATGGTGTGGATGATGAGAATGATGATGATGACGATAATGGTGATGATATCTTTCCAAATGATAATTCGTTGAGCCTGTTGATGATTGAGAACGAGTACGATCCGTTGGCTTATTGCCACGAGTCAGTGTTTTATTTTTATTTTCTTTTTGTGTCTTAGCTGGTGATTGTAAACTTATATGAAAAACATCATCAGACTTAATCGGAATTATTTTAATGGGTATAAGTTTTTCTACAACAGGTTGACGTTTATCGATTGAATTATTCCAAGGAGATTCTTCGCCTGTTCGCAATGAATTGGCATTGTTACTTGACTCTGTCATTCGTGATTATACTATTAAATACACTTTTTCTCCTTCTTTCTCTCTCTCTCTCTCTCTCTCTTTCTAATAGATCAATCACCTGTATTACGTATACTCCTTGAATACACTTTGTTTCTTTTTCTTTTTTTGCCTATATACACGTCAAAATACCTGTAAATATATCAAGCATGGCTTCTTTCCCTTATTGATTTCGGTAAGACAGACAAGTTTGTATAAGAAACGAAGGTTGTCTTTATTACTTGTTTCACGGTCAGATACGAAAAGATATATTTTGCAGTATATTTCTTTTTTTTTCTCTCATAAAAAAAATGTTTTCACAATTTTTAAACAAACGAAATTATCGTCGAGCTTTCCATATGTGAGTAGTTGCATTGCGCTCTAGAACTATTGTATGTAAAAATGGTATGTGTGCACATTGCTCTCCGAATGTAACAGGATCGAATGATCGATGTGTAGCAATATTTGAGAAAATGAGTGGCGTTGCTGCATGACCAACAATGAGTACAGTCGAAGGTCGACCATAGCCGCCAGCTCGTACACGATGATCATGATCTTGTTCAATTGCTTTGAAAAAGTATTTACTTCGATCCCGATAGTCATATTCAGTTTCTTGTGGATTTAAAAAATCATCGAGACGCTGATAAGCTCGATCAATATTATAGCCTGTTCTTGCCCATGTTTGTGATGACATAAATGGGGATACATTAATAAATTCTTGATATGGTTGGTTCCAAAACATTGGCTCAAATAAATATGGTTCAAGACGCAAAGGAATATTAGTTCGATTCATTCCTTGCAAAACACTGGCTGCTGTAAGAACGCAACGAGAAGCAGGTGATGAATAACAAGCATCAATATTTGAAGCAACTGTTGATAACTGATGTCCTAACGTTAATGCTTTTTGCTGCCCATTCCGTGTTATCGGTGGATCAAGCATATAGAGAAAGGTGTCTCGGCGATTTGGTAATCGTGATGGTAAATATGAACGCAGATAATTTTGTGGTGGTGATGTACCATCACCAAAAACTTGGTCAAACCAATTTTCACCTAAGATTGTATCAATTCGTTCACCATGTCGAATAATGATCAAACGAAGGTCATATGTTTGTGGATTACGTTGAGGAACGTGGACTCTATCATAATTTCTATAGTACTTCTTCTTGCTATGATAAATACGATTATCATGAAGATATGTAGCTGGCTTGGGCTTGACTACGTACATCAAAATATGCAAATGTAACACATGTTCCTTTATTTAAGAGAAGACGGGGGGAAAAAGAGGAGAAAAAGCATAAAATACTACGTGTATTTATGGTGACCGATCATGCATACATAATAAACAAAAAGATATAAAGATATGCGAAGTGTGCCTATGAAGAAGAACACCTGATGATAAAAATAATTAATAATTAAATAAAACTTATTCTAAAAAACTCAAGGTTCAATAATCTTTTTTTTCGATACCTGTACCTATTGAAAAACACGGCAGTTGAAAAAAATTGATGATATTATGTGCGCTTTTTGCTCTTGTTACCTGCATTGATTATTGTAAAAATAAATAAGATTCTCAATGACATGAATCCACCAATTGATTGGTTGATACGCTCGCACGAGGACAGCATTGTTGTTGTTGTTATCATCGACCTCAGACACGCACATTTATGAGGCGAAATAAAAAAAAAAAACTTGCCAAGATAGTTATTATAGATCAAGTATATTGATTATTTTTTTGCATAAACGAACAAATTAACGAATGAAGCAACGAAATTGGATTCATAAAAATCAAGGCTCACGTATTTTACATAACGTGTATCATATCGAAGCCAACATGCTTATCAACATTCGACTTTTGATCCAACTAAAACAGAACAAACCAAGTATTCTCATGAAATATTTTGCTTAAATATGCAGCTGAGTAACAGATACATTTTTCAATGCAAAAAAAAAGTTCATGATGCATTTAATTTGATTTATAAGAAAAACTACTTAGATATTTGCTGTGTGATAATATTTTTCAGTTATTTGACGCGTCTATTTTAAGCGGCTTCAAGTAGTTGAAAGTTCTATTGAATTATGAAATCAAGAGTAAAAGTTTTTTTTGTATCCGGTGAAGAAAACCGAGACTTAACCTTGAATCTTCATTTGTAGTACTGTTTGTATGATTCGACAAAAAAAAAGTTTCTTTACAAAAGTCAATCGTTTACAATTTATTCGGAACTCTACAATCCAATATAAACTCAATTGTTATCAATGAACAGTCACAGAAACACATCATTGTAATTCTTACGTAGATTATTAAGAACTTGATATACTTTAGTGAAAACAGATTGTTTTTAAGAGAATTTCACTCGTTACTTGAATAAGAAAGTTAACTAATGTTCGATTCATTGTGTCGAATGAAGAGTGTATTACGTAGAAGATAATAAGATGTCTTCGAAGAATGTAAAATCTGCTGTGCAAAATGAATTTAATCTTAAATTTTGTTAGTATCATTTTATCAAAGTCAATTGTAATAATCTAATAAATAACAATAGCAGTGATATTCAATCATGTACTCATTGTCTTACTAAAGCAAATCATTGCGACATGAGCTATATGCATATAATTTGGCTTAGCGATCAATAGTCTTCTTACTAAATTTTGATTTTCTAGATATTAATTAACATTTAACAACATATATTCTAGTCAACTATGCCTCGAATGATGTATGCAAGAGTTTGCCAATAATTCTTGAACCGAGAATATTAGTTAAAATAAAAAAGTATGTCTTATAAACTAGTCAATTAAAGGAACATAGTTCATCGAATAACTAAAACATAGGATGCTAATATTTTTTTACTTTGTAGCTTATTTTCAAGGTTATCTCAATATTTTCCATAAAGCATATTCGATTAAAGCGATGTCTAAAAGAAATAGCTTCTTCAATTTTAGCGTTTGAGTCTAGTTGTTTAGTATAAAACAATGCATAACTATGTTGTTTAGCTGCATTTAAATTTTAAAATATTTATTATTATAAAGATCTCAGTTAAACACGAAATTTCTCAGTGATTCAATTACAATGAATCAAACTTGGATAAAACATGTGCATATATAACAAAGTGAATTATAAAAACCTAAATTTACGAAAAATAGAATGAAGAGCGCCGAGATAATTTTCCAATCTTGTTTTTTCTTTCATTTGTATATTTTTTCCTGTTGTGATAAATTTAAAAGAAAACAATCATTTAAATGTTGATAAATACATATGATGGACTTATATAGAAAATATCCCATCGATCAATGTGAACCTATAAATTATTGTACAAATATTGATGATTTTCGTCCCGTGCAATCTGCATTATTAACACGTTTTACAACGGCCGATTGTTCCGAACTATGGCGAACAACAAATCAAGATTATGGAGCATTTTACTATCGTCAGTTACCTCAATCGTGTATACCTGATAATCTAAAAGCTAAAATTTATCAACGTCAAAGTCGTTTTCAAGATTGGCTTTATTATCAAAATTTAATTAAAAATGATAAAAATTGCAATAATCGAACAATTTTTCCATCTGACAAAAATGATACTGTACGTATAACACATCGAAAAAGATGCTCGCCCAAATTTCATGATACCTTCTGCGATAATCAACAAAATCAAAATACTTTTTCATCGTGTGGTGAAGATGGATTAGTGAGAATTTTTAGAATTAAATTTAGAAATAACAGAATTCGCATGCCATTTATTTAGATAACTGAATTTATTGTGAAAAAAATACTGCATAAATTGCAATGTTTAATTGGTCCCGATGAATGTCATGATGTTGCTGCATGTGCGCAATTACTTGTTAGTGGAATTCTAAGTCAAGAAGTAAAGAAACATGAAGCAACTTTTTTCTCTATAAAATCTGCTGGTTTAAGTGATTCGCTCTTTGGTCGTTCTTTAACTATTAGTATAATGTAAAACTATTGATTATGATGAGTAGTTATTTTTGTTACTCGAGTTAAAATTTTAACCCTCAATCATCGAATTTTCCGGAGACGTTCAATAAACGTGGGTTAAGATTAATTTATATGACAACAGAAAGAACTCTGTAGGTGCTCATTTCCCATATGATATATTTAGTTTAGCTAAAGACGCATGCGAGACTGCAGTGCCCGTAGGAGCTCGCTTTCACATTCTTACTTCTTATATTCAGTAAAAGGATAACAATTAAAAATACCTGTAAAATGCTTTGAAAATAATATCTTTATGTTATAAATAGAAAGTGTTTTCTTTCATATAATAATTTTAAAAAATCTTTGTAAAAAAGAAAATGAGCAGTGTAACTTTACATCTGCATTCAAATAGAAAGAAAAAAGCATTCGTTTACAATAAAATTCATTCGAGCAGTTTAGAATGCGTATGCAGAAGATCGAATAATGCATACTTCTTAAACCAATGATAAAAATAGAACATTCCATTTATGAAAGATCAGATATCAGATTATCTCTTCATGTATTCGTTTCCGCCTAGATTTTTACAGCAAAAGGTCAAAGAAGCGAAAGTATTACTTAATCACATCGACTTTGTAAGCTATCAAAATAATACCAATACCTTGCATTCACTTGCAATTCTATACGAGTACTTTTTGTAAATGCTAATATGTATAGACGACTAGACATGAGAGAAGGCAAGAAAAAGAGAAAAGAATATGCATCGAAGATAAACTATTGATATAATGTCACCATCGCATATAATACAAAAAAATAGCTGTTGCCGAAATTTTCTTATTGTAGTGCTAATTGAAATATGAGTTTCTAAGACTGAAAATATCTCATTAAATAAATCCACCACAATTGTTGTTATTTCTCAAATGTCAATTGTTTTTACGAATTTTTTCAGCCATGTTTATTGGCAAATGAAATTATCGATCGTGTCATTAACATTATGATTACTCCTCCAAATAACATTGAACAAAAAATGTTCAATCCTTGTTGTTCATATATTTCAACAACACCAGTATGCTGCCCGTCTCCTCAACTTGTACCTAATAACTGCCAGACGACACAACCGTCTGATATAATCAACAATGAGCTTCCTCTCTGTGCAACTCTGAACACTACAGATCCATTGATTAATTGCAGTCAAACTACGCCGTTGTCGAATGGTTTTGAAAAACTTAATCATCTTGAAGTAGCTTCTAATATCTATTTTAAATCTAAACGTATTCTATTTTACTTTGTTCTAGAATGCCATATCAAAAGTTTCTAATAATCTTGTTAAATAATTAAAAACCATTTTTGTTTCAAGCAATTTTAATTTTAGCGAAGAAAAAATAAATACAACGTACAATAGAAGTAGAAATAGAACTACAATATGTTATTTAGGTTTATTTCCAAGTTGTTGTCCACTAAATGGGCAGGTACCACTAGCAATTGATGGTCTTCTTGCCATATTTGCTCGGTGTACTGGTGGTGAACCATTTCGTGTCTTGTCCGGATCAAGTTTCTGTATAGCAGTATTCTCATACATATTTGCTTGATGTTGACCGACTGCTGATTGACTTTCTTCATGTATTCGAAATGGATCTTGTTCAGCAGCAGCCATATAGTCAGCTTTGGGACCGACTAACCAATATGTTTCAACAGTACCTTTACCCTGAATGTTTTATTTTTCAATTCATAGAAAGTGAAGTTGAATTTAAAGAATAAAATTTTTACTTTGAGTTCTGTTTTGCCTTTACTTTGAATTTCAAAGTAAGGTGATTCTCTGAGAAGTGCATAAGACGTATCACTCACATGAACTCGTCCCGCCTAAGAATTAAAATGTGATTTAAAAAAACTATAAAACAACAATCTGTTTTACCTCGCCTGTTGTTGTGATTCGACTTGCCTAAAAGATAATAGCACAAGAAAATTATTGATAGTATTCAGCTTTCAAATCTAGTAAACTAGAAACACCAGGTTAGCTTTTACTCGAACGCATTGTCGCTCTCTTACAGATCATCAAGCAGTAATATCTTGCTATCTTATACAAATTATTTACTTATTGCATTTCTACATGACCAAATGAAAGGGGATAGTGAAGAATTATATGAAGAAAAAAAACAGTCGATGGAATAAAGCAATCTTCATTTATCTGGCAACTGCAGCCAGACTATGTTTTACACGTGAACGCCTTAGGGATTATTCAAATAGCTGTTTAATATATTAAAATTAATTCATATCGGGATAAAAATTATAAAGCGAGAGAATCGGATTATTTATGCTTGAGTCGTATTTAGCTAATTTTTTGCTTGAAAAATTCTTATCTCGGGAAGCAACAAAACTAATAGAATTTCTACCGTGTTAATTGTATCACCAAAAAGACAATATTGAAAATTTTTCGCACCAACAATACCACCGACAGCTGAACCCGAGTGAAAACCTACGAATATTTACATTTAATTGAGAAAAAAGTTAAATATAATAGAAAAACTGTTTACTTACCAATTTTAACAGGAAACGGCTGCTGTGTTAATGGACTTATAACTCTCTTAGAACTTTTAATTAATTCAAGTGAAAGTCCTGCTATGATTTCTGCTTGATTGAGTCCCAATGGATTTTTAATATCACCACCAAGTTCTTCGGTAAGTGTCCCACTATGTAATGTTGATCCACTCTATCACAAAATAAAAGAGTGACATGCATTCAATCTAGATAGTAGCTGTTGAGTACATTTTTAATAGTAAAACCTAGTGCTTATTCTTCAATGGATTTACTATTGAATTTAACAAAAAGAACAACAATGCGGAAACCGTTTTTTGAATATTTTCATCACGAGAGAAAATAAAATAAACAACCTTGAAACACATATGTGATTCAGATGTTCAAAAAAGTCTGAATGCACGACATCTTGAAAGAAGAAGGTTATTTTTTCTTGCAATATGAGATATTTTTCGAATCGTGAAATTTTTCTTAGAAGTATTATTAAGAATGGAAAAACTAATTTAATTAAGCATCTTTCTTTTGAATTACTTGAACTTTTGTATATACTATCAAATCTCATAATAATCATAGGGAATGATGTATGTGGCAATGTACTCAGTATTGTATCGAATGAATAATTTGTGACATCAAACCATTAAAAATTTGTCTAGGATTATTCTATATTAAAGCTTCATCAAAGGCGCCCTGTATTTAACTAAATCAATGTTACTCAACACTAGGTGTGGCGCTTTAACTTTAAATTGACTGTAAAGTGCATAGTTAAAATTTGTTTAAACTCACGCTTAAATGCTTCGTTTTGGCGTTTCATCTGTTGCAGAGAATCTCATAAGCATGACAAAATGCGTCAGTACAATAAAAAGTATTAAAAAGAAGCGTTCTAAAGGCGACTTTAAACAAATTTAAACTTTACGGTTAAAGTAAAGTTAAAGTGTCACCCCTACTCAACACCAAAATGATAGAAATCTATTTGTTTTGTCAGTAGCAACATTGAAAGATTCTACTAACAACGGAATTCTTCTCTTGGAAAAAATGAACTAGAAAATGAGAATATCTAAAGATTCTTATTTTTGATTCGAAAACAAAATCAACATTACAGTTGTCGATCCACGTCGTTGTCCAACTGAACGATCTTGTATGCCAGCTACTACCATATAAGATGAATCTGCTTTTGTCTCAACTTTAAAGACATCAAAATGTTCAGAACATTGATCAAATGCATTGACAGTAGCATTTATTGATTCCACGATTTGATCTGGCTTTAATTTTTGTACAACATCTTTAAAGCCAATTGAATATGCAAAAAGACAAGTTATTAATTTATGAGACTAAGACAAAACAAAACAAAAAACAATGCGCATTGCTGGTTTTTAAAACTCAGCGTTTTTTTCTTACTTCACATATTGAATTGGCCAAAACGCCGTCTTGTAAAAGTTGCGCAACATGTCTTGGCATCATATTATATAAAAGACGTTTGCCTTTTCGACGCCATTCTTGTAATTCACGTTTTGAACCTTTTAATTTTGCTACCCATGCTTGTTGTTTATCGATCGCTATTTGTAGTGTTCGAGTATGTTGCATACCAGCAATAAGAATTTCGCTGCTACCATCATAAAAATTTAAATCATGCAAAAACAAGCCAACAGAAAGCATTTCTTCTGTTGTTGTTAATCTACGTAAACGATAAATTTAAATATAATAAAAATTCATTCATAGTCAAAATTCACATGGGACGACAAAGAAAAACAACCATGTTCCAAGCAAGTACTGTTTTCATTTGTCCTTTGAGACGAAGTTGTGCATTACTTGATGCACCGAATTTTTTTGCAACTATAGATGCATTTGGACGAAGTGGTATTCGATTTTCAATCACGAATACTATATGTCGACCATGGGATATAATCTAAACAAAAGTATTTAAATGATTATTTTCTTTTAATAATCTAAACAACTATGAAAACAAACTCGATTCCATTCAAGTACGATATCCGGCCGAATAAGACGGAAAACATCATCGAAGTGACGTCCGATTAATACGGTACCAACAGGAAAAATTTCTTTGATGGAATCTCCCATATGATGTATACGCATGCGTGCGTCAATGACAATAGAAAATGGAAATACCTATGAAAAGCAAAAATAGTTAAAATTTCATTATTATTCAAAAGAAAGACATTTTAAAAGTGAATAAATTATAACATTATCCGTGTTGTTTTATTGCCCAATGGATCTAACGATGGTCTTCCTTTCGCTATATTTACATTAGTCTGTTAGTAGATTTATTTTTAATGAAATTTAATACATATGATTATTCTATATTTAGTTAACATAGAAATACTCGGTTAATTTCTTTCATATGTAGATCTCAAGAAAAAGACTTATTTTTAACCAGAGATAATCTTCTTATGAATATTTTCTTCCCAAATGAAATTCTATAAATAAATCGAGAAGAATGTTTGCTTTTCTGCGAGGCCTTTTTTCTAGATTTAAACTTCAAAAGATTTTACTTTGAAAAATGTTGAACTGGTTACATCAGATAACTTTGGATTCGGCACAATTCTTTTTGTTTTACTACCGCTAGTATTATTGAAATCCAAACGAAAGACAATATGACTGTCTAGAATAAAAATTGTTTTTATTATTTTGCTTTTAAGATAATAATAATAAAATACTTGCATTCATTTGACGATAAATCATCTTGAACACGTGCCAATATTTCTTGTTTAAAAAAACGATGTCCACATGCTCTCAATTGCCCAATGATATATTGTTGAAAACCTCGACGTTTTGATCTATCGTTTTTTTGAAATATAATAAATCATTTTCTTTTCCAAAATTTTCTTTTATCATACTTATAATGTAGAACTGCGCCATTCTCATCTTCTTCTGTAACATGAAATAATGGGGATTTCATTTTTGGAAAGCTGAATCGATTCGAATCATGAAGTTGATCGATTGATAAAAGAAAATCTCGAAAATGACGGCCAGCGACACGTAAGATTTTATCATAACCATAATTTGTAAAAAAAGTTACAAAGCATTCTCCAAAAAATTGCATGTAAAAATCTACTCCACCGTCACCCAATGCTTCAGAAAGACCTAAAATATAGATTTAGTATATCATTCAAAATGGCTCGAGTGTATAAAACGAAGATAATCTTACATTCAGCAATTCTTTCAACAAGTGCTTCATCATAACGACCAAGTGTTGTAAATGATTCAGATTCAAAATTTAATTCTTCAACGACTCTTTGCCATGTTGCTGATCCATACGCATGACAAATACCATCGCGGCAACTTTCAAGTAGAATTCCATAGATCATATTTGATGGTTAATTTTTACTCTAAAGAAACTGTTTTTCCATTTATATATATATAGGAGTGCAAATATGGAAGTACTGTGGATGTACGTTTCAACACACTTCATCGGATTTCCTGTCGTTGATATTTCATTTTTACACATCGATAATCAACTATTTTCCAATCATGTTATATAACATGTTTTTCAAGAGAAAACTTTACATAAGCTTATTAAAAATTTAATAATTAAAAAGGACAATTAGATTCTGTGTTCAGTCTTGCAAGTTATCAGGAAATTTTCATCAATATCAAATATATAGGCGCGGGGTCAACTTTACCTTGAGAAATTTTGATACAGGCTTTTTTTTAAATAATCTCTTGCTATATATCTTTTTTTGAGCTATAGAATACAACCAGATGTCTCTTAGACGATGTCAACAGCTTTTCTTCTTTTATCTCCATTTTCTATGAATTAAAAAAAAACTAATTATTTTGTTTTTCTTTCTGAGACATCCGTATTAAAAAAAAAAAGAAGATTAATTTCTAGCATATATGATTCATTTTCTGTCGTCCGCAGTGCTCTACTAAGAATAATGAGACCAAATATTTAACAGCGGAAACATGAAAACTTCTTTTTTTTATTTATAATTATAATAGGTTAGTTAAGACAATGAAGGGTATCTACATGAATAATTTAAAAAGAAAACAAACGAATTTCTTTAATAGTATAGTTGATCTACTGTTCATAGTCAGTTGATTTCGTATGTATTTTTAAAGAAAATGCCATTCGACTATTGTAGTACCATCGCCAATGTCTCCAGCAACAGCCATAAATGCGTCTTGTGTTAAAGCAATGTCACCTACGAGAAGAAAAATAATAATACATAATTATGATAAAAAGCATACATCTTAACAAAAATTTACATACCCGCTTTGCAATCTGGACATCTGTCAATGAATCGAACTATTATTTCACTTCGTGAGCCTCTAACTACAGCTTTCTTTTGACAGATTGGATTTGAACTTGGAATACCGTTAACAGTGTATGGATCGAATTGAGCTTGATTAAGTGCAGCACCATAAACTTTTTGGTCATTCTCATCCAATGATTGTCCTCGTTGAATACCACATGTTGAATATTGTGAGCCAACTTTGGTTTCGTTATAGTATGATGCTTGACCTTTAAATTCACCTTCGATTGATACTGGTTCAATATTACCTGATGATTTTTGATATGCACAATAAATACCAATTGTACCACAACTAGAAAACAACATCCATTATCGTATATAAAATATGACAAAATTCACATACTATCCCTGTCGTGTACAACAAAGACCAGAACCACATGCTGTAGCACCACAATTACCATAGGAAATAGCACCACAATAAGCAGCTGTATTTCCACAGCTAGATAAAACGAAGTAATCAACATTTCACTTTTGCTTCCCGAAAATACAAAAAAAAAACTTACAATCCATATTGTGAACAACATGAACCAGCTGGGCAGCCAGTTAATCGACATGAGCCTACGGCTGGAGAGGGAGCTGGAATAGGAGCAGGTGCAACAATAAGAACAGTTGGAGGGCTACCACAATATTCAACTGATTGCCCACAACTAATTCATTCGAAATCTATCATATTATATCATATTTATTCGAAAGTATGTAATACATACTAGCCATAAGGTGAACAACAATAGCCAGCTCCACAGCCTACAAGACGACAATCAGTACCAACAAACGGCGAACCTGACCATCCTGGATATACGGAAACTGCTCCACCACAGTATTGAGTACCTGAACCGCAAGCACCAAATGGTGAACAACATAGACCAGAACCACAGTATCCAGTAACCTGACAATTACTAGCTAGAATAAATAGATTGTAAGATCAGCAGAAATTCAACTTGTTTTCCTTTTTTTTCTTCTTCATTCAATTTCAAACTTACCTGCACTATTCACAAGTGAAAGTAGTAGAATACCAACAAAACTAATGGCGTACATGGTGATGTTCGTATGAATGTTTATTGTTGTATTAGGCTCGAACGTAAAGTGACGATGACACTTATTGATATGAAAATGCAAAGGATTTTACTTTTCCCGTCCGCTTAAATAGATGTTTAATCCTAAGAATAAATATTCGTGCATTGATCAATATATGTGTAAGAAGAAAATCCTTGACGTCTGCCTATTGATTGACATTTTCGATACGACCATACAATTGTAAATGATCCTAGAGAAGGTTATCAAACTCTCTTTACGCATAACACAAGTTCAAACTTGACTTTTTTTTCGTATTCAAATTAAAAATACGTTGAGACATAAGAAAAAAAAAGAGCCGTAAGACAGACGTAGGAAGGAAGTATTAAATAGTGTATCTAATCCAGATATCTCATGTAATATAGATCATGATCTATCTTATCATACTTGATCTAGGTTACAACAGGAGACGTAACTAGACACATACAATTATTAATCATGTGATTTTTGACATTTTTATTTCTTCTAGTTGGTATGAAAATATTTTTCATATTCTTTCATAGGTGTAAAAAATATTTCATTGAATTTTAAATTGCACAAAACATCGTTTCTGTTTAAGTTTTTAAATTTTAGTTTTAAACCGGAAGAAGAAAACGACTAATTTTCGATAAGAAAAATAAAAACATTTCAAATCGCCTTCCTTTCGACTTAAAACATGGTGATGGTATACATTGAATTCATCAATATATTTTCGTTTATCAAATTTTAAAATAAATCATTGTTGTACAAAATAAAAGTGCAGTATCTAAAACAATAAACCTAAACAGGATAAGAATAGAGCTTGCAAAGCTCGAAGCTGTATCATACTAGAAGATTATTTTGAGTCAAAAAAAACACACAGCTTATTGCACAATAGAAGATCAAGCATTCGATGGATTAGGAACTAGTTGATGATCTAAAATATGACCATCATGAACAACATTAGATAATAGAAAAAGTCGAAAATAGCGTAATATTGACATTTGAAAAGAATAATGACGATGATCTAGGATCAAAATAACCGACGGTAGACAAAAGAGTACTGTTCAGAGCGAAAAAACAGCAGTCATAAAAAATAATTTTATATGAAACAAGCCATCAAATATAAGACTATTGTGTTGATTGTTGATTAATAAACTAGTATTTTGAAGTGATGAGTTGGATATGAATATTGAGATATATCATCAGAATCATTGTGTAGAAGAAAATGTGTTCAAGATTCTTACACAAATAGCTTTCACTTGATTGAATTTGTTATATGATCAATTATTCAAGACTTATCTAACTCTCAACATCACTATTCAGTATTAACTTAATCTTTCAAAAGATAATTTACATTTGAAACATTTCTAAATTTTACTCAGAATCGAATTCATCAATGTTATTACTATAGAATTGTAATTTCGATCAAAATCAGAAATAGTAATTATATCCGATCTATTTTTAATTTTAACTGACATGATACAAATTTATTTACTACAGCTAATTGTTTTAATGTAAATCTATTATCAAATACATTCTCGGAGTTATTTCCCGTCATAGTTTTGTCTATGATTCAAACTTGATTTTGATTCCACCTACTGTCATTTTGCGGCATCTGTTTTGTACGTGCGTTGATTCAGTCTTTATTCTTGTTGCATTGCAACCTAAATCAGAGTGCCGGTGTAAATGGCAGCAATGAAATCAATGCTTTTCTTCTGCTCGTTCTATGCTTTCATTAGTGAATGGTAAAAAAAAAAGATTATTTACCTGAAATATTCTAACAAAAACAATGTGGTCCTTTGTCGATTGATTGTTAAAAGACAGAAAAGCTTCGACATTCTTTATAAATGAATATTCAACGTGATCCATCTCCACCTCCTACTGATTCAGCACTTGCATCAGCTAGACAACATCCAGCGACAATAAAAATTGATGAACAATTTTTACAAGAGCCCACACTTGCTTTTCTTGAATCTCACCAAAGTCATTTACGGCCAGCTTTAGCATCAGGTATATTCGTGCTATCCTTAACTAAACTACAATTGAATTCCATTGGTGATATTGGACAATTAAAACATATACAAATATGTGATTTAAGTTCGAATTTTATTGAAGTAATCGATAGTCTGCTTATTAATTGTCGACATTTAATCAAGTTGGATTTACACTCAAATCGAGTATGACAGCAACAACAAGAAAATATGTTAAGTCTTGTAAGAGAAAATTTTCCGTTTGCTTTCAGATTAATCGACTGCCCGATGGCAAACTTTGGAAACAAATGTCGAAATTAAAAATTCTCTATTTACATGACAATTTGTTATCGTCTTACGATGATGTTAAATCGCTTGCCAATACACCCGTTCTTGAAATTCTCACCCTTTATGATTCACCGTTAAGTATTAAAAAAAATTATCGGCATCACGTTGTCAATAGTGTTTGGTCTTTAAAAGTAAATTACATTAAAATATGCTACTTTTTTTTTTCTTTTCCTTTAAATGTTTTAAGGCGCTGGATACATATATAATTGCCGATGATGAAATCATAGAAAAAACACATTTCCCTGAACCATATGCAGCATATTCAAATATATTTAAATTCAATCTTTATATTCCAACTGGTAAAGTAAGAAAACAGATCAATACTCGAATAATCTGTTTGATATTCTATTTCATTTTCATTCTTTTTTTCTGTTTAGAACTCAACACTTAATGTTGAACGTAAAGCTATTGAACAACTTTTAAAACATATCAATAATGTTCAGTCACATTATTGTCCAGTACTTATTTTACAAAAAAATTTTCGTATGTGGCTTGTACAACTTCGATTAAAAAAATTTCTATTATTAAGTCAAAAGTAAGTTCAATAAAAATGTTTGCTTGTGTGTTTTTCTTCATATGTTCGATGATTCTAGACCTGCTCCAAAATTTTTACATGCACGACCTACCTTTACACCATTGAGTGGTTCATCAGGAAAATTTTCTGCATTTCCAAAACCGCCTCGAACATCAGCGATTATAAATGTATTTCATCAGATTGAGGTTTTATTTCAAAAGATAACACGAAAACATTCTTTTCAAATCTTGCTTTTTCTTGTTCTAGCCTTTAAAAACTCCGGATTCATATCAAGATAAACGTCATATTAAAATTCACTTGGGCCAATTGACTACTACCCAAACCGATACAAATCGTCTACCATTTCCTAACGATGCACAAGTTCGTTCACGACACATTGTAGCTAAAACAAGTACATCAAAATATTCTGATGACAGAACATCGCCAATACTTCGTGGCCAAAAATCTCAATTAACTGTATATGAACCTATAGAAGAGATGAACGATGAAATACGAGCAGCCAGACAATATGTACAAGATTTGAAAGATGAATCACATTTAAAACAACGTAAACGTGAAGCAGAAATCAAAGAAAATAATGCAATGAATCGTAATATTATTCGACATCATACAGTTGATGATCGGCTTTTACGAACAATACACGGAAGTATGGCATTCGGATGTTTAGTAGCTGTTGATAAAGCTTATAATGATAGAGCAAAAGTTGATCGAAGAAAATTGCTTGCAAGAGAAGTTGAACAAAACAGACAAGAACATTCTTTAATTCAAGCACAACTACAAGTAAAAGAATTTCATCCTATATCACATTATCATACGAGACCATTCTTGAATTCGTAAGAAAGCTATATTAAGTAGATTAGATGATTCAAGAATATCAAAGACTAGGCAATATCATGCACAACCATAAGGACATACAATTTCATTAGTCGATGTTCATGACATTTGAAAACAAGCGTAGTTTTGACAAGTTAATTTAGTACTCCAACACTGAAATCATCTATAATTAGAAATGCAAACGGTTTCATTATTTGAGAGTAGCTTATCTGAGTCATTAAGAAAGCGTTGTTAACAACTCAGCCAATCAGTTCGCACCTCTATTTAGAGTCAAACTAAATAACACTTCAAACTTATGTTCAAAAGTCAGGATTTCCTAATGAATGATAAAACAAAAATACTCTACACTATGAATTGGAAAACGGCGGCTTTATACTATTAAACACTAATGAGTTTCCTATTGTTGAAAGAAATTCTTGACATACACTCTTCACACAAAAGCTAAGCTCACTCATCGACAAAAGTCGAAAGAAAAAAAAAATTTTTGACAACAAATATCTCCTTTTTTACTACGAACAATGTAGTGTATTAATCTTCTTAGATAAAGTCATGCTTCAATATATATTGCATTGTGCAGTCTAGTAATCGAGATTACAAGTGCACTTGAAATATTGATATTTTCAATGTAAAATATATCAAATTTTTATTTATTTCTTGAAAACAATTGAGCATTTTAGTGAAAACTCTAATATATTGTTATTATTGTGAGCGTATGCATACAAATATTGTCAAAAAGCATTCCTGCAACATATAAAAAAATTGTTCCGGCGCCTGAATACACCGAGAAACGATCATTTCCGATAGATTTGAAAGTATTCTAAATATAGAAATTTTATTTGAAATATTTTTCAGCACACACACGATGAACGTCTTGTCAATATTCATCGTACAAAAGATCAAGATCGTATGAAACAAACTTATATGCGTCATCGTGTTGACCACGCTCAAAGTGAACTGTATGAAACCGTACAAGAACAACGTCTTCTTCTACTTGAGCAACAACGAAAACGTCGAGCACAAGTAAAATTTTCTCAACAATTTAATTCACAACATATATCTATATCGAATGCATTGCAACGTCATGAAAATAATATTCGTACTCAACGTAAAATGAGACATGCACGAGAAACAGTGACAAAACAAAAACAAAATACTGAAGAACAAACTGAGTTAATTGAAAAATATATAACACAGCGTAAACATGTTCGTCGAGCTCTATCAAATATTGAGCGTAAACAATTAGATGTGCAAGCTATGCGCGATGCTAGTGAACGTCTTTTACAAGCACAGCAACGTGTTGCACATATACGCGCAAGAAATTCAAATATTCAACAATTTAGTGTTGTAAAAATGTCACCACAAAACGACGAATTAAGACGAAAAACACAAAGTCTAACTGAATCGATGCTAGAACGTGAATCATTATTTGATACTATAACCGATCATATGGCTGCTCAACAGACAGTTCAATAGATACATAAGATTATTTTTTATGTCGCTATCGTTTCTTCTTTATTTAATTTTACAATATATATATATATATATTTAAATATAAACGATAAGGAAATTGATTTACAGCAATAAAATAACACTTTTATTTTATTTTTATTTATTGAAAAAAATACTCAATCATGTAATCAGCTAATTTTTAATATTTCTGTTCATACTATTAATATCTTAAATATATTTGACAGCAAAATTTCTCTATGAAAATAATACTAAATTATAATAATAATCCAGTACTTCGATAGTAAATATGAGTTTGATTGACAAAAAAAATGCCTATCTCTCTCTCAATATATATATATATATTTATTTTTGTTGTTGTGTGACAAATGATATTGGATACTTATACTAAGTAGATTCCGGCCACTGCTGATTGGCGTAGTTTTGAAGAGACGCAATCTTTCATTTGTTGTCAACAACGAAAAGAAAAAGGTGAAAAGTATTCTATCATTTCTATACAAAAATGAATCTGACAAAATCATATCAATAGTTTAGGGTGTTGAAGTTATTGTAGCTTACATAAAATGAGTGCTTTAAAATTAAATAAAAAATGCTGGGAATTGTTCTTTAGTCATGCTGCTTCACATTGAGTGTTGGCTAGAAAAAAAATTCATTTGGGCGGATTTCACAGTTGGAATGTGTAATTGAAGACAATGAAATGATCCAATTCTTTTCATGTTTACTTTTCATTCAATTTTAAGTATAAGAAATCCGATTTGATTGCATCACTAAGAAAAAAAGAGTGCATTTTTAATCGTAAGGTTAATTTTTCGAACTAAAAACCTCAAATTGACTTAATTTTATGATATTTTATAGATGCATTAATATTTAATTTTACATTTAATAGCAATCAATACTTCTTCATTTCACGCATGAAATAGAAATAGTTGTTTTTCTTTATTTCTCGATGTTGTCTGCTAAGTGCTTTCGTCGAAAGCGTTAAATACCGTCCAGAATGTATTTTTTTTACTTTTTTTTTACATTTTTTAATGAATTCGATACAGACGAACGGAAGTATATCTGCTATGATGATATAAAAAGTAGCAGGTTTTTTCGAAACTCTAATATCATTCTTTGTAATGATTATTTTCTTCAAAATTAATGAACTTTGCGAAAACAAAAGTAAAACGGCTGTGAAAATTAATGTCATCTAGTCATTTTTTTAATACAGTATTGCATTTGCCTGAGATGCACAATGAGATTCTTCGAATGCATATGAAGATTATTTTCTCTCATTCTTATTTACTCATAAAAAGTACTTCAAGCTTTTCAGATGAGACAAAAATAGAAACATCAGCACAACAAAATATTCAGAAATCTTAGAATAGTGTACTTCTTATCGAGTATTTGATCAGCATGATACTTATTGTTTCTTTTATTTGGATCGTTTTACCAAGAGTTTAGCTACACAATCATTATCATTTCTATATCTTCGTATCTACGTAACAGTACAAATACAAAAGAAGTCAACGTATACGTGTGTACTCAGTATCAGCCTGAAAGAAAAAAATAGACTCTTTGTTGTTGTCATCATCGTCACTACTCGTATTTTAGTAGTGTTTGTGTATTGCATATTTTATAAGGATGACGATGATGGAGATGAGGAGAAAAAAGAGAAGAGAGAGAGAGAGAGAGAAAGAGAGACAAAATAAAAGAAAGCTGTGCTCAAATAATATTTACGTGTAAGCAATATGCTTTATAAAAGTACATTGACCATTTGCGAGTAGAAAACTAAGCCAACAAGTTTACGCATTGGATACTTTGGTTGTTTGTGTACTTATCGAGTTTATTTGAACTATATTTTTTATACTCGTAAAAAAGTAAGTTGTTTGCTGATCTTCTAGAGAAAATATTTTAATAATATTTACCATCAATAGGGCAGAAAAAATATTAGAAAGAAATTCTTTTATTCTTGTGATTAATAATCCAGTGAATTATGGTGTTTTGTTTTCTTACTTTTTTTCCAATGAATTGCCACATTGAATATTTTCATTATTTTTCTATTCAAACAAATTTGATACTTTTCATGGTTTCGCTACGTACATATATATGGATATGTATATATTTGCGCGGGCTGAAATAATGAAGTTGCCATCGGAAAAAAAGAATTTTTTTTTGCTTTTTTTTCTTGGAAAGGAGAGAGAAAGAAAAAAACATGATGGCAGAGAACAAACATTATTTACTGATCGTTCGTTTTTCTTGTCTTAAAATAAAAGTCTGTCTAAATCAGCCACAAATAAGCACTTAATTTTGACATCACCAGTTCCTTTTTGCTTGACGAATTTTTACCTCACTATTTCAATATGTTGATTTAAGCAAGCTTCAAGTGTCATTTTCTACCATAGCCATATGGCGTTCTTGCTTGCTTGATTATTAACTGTCTTCTTATGTTTTTGCTTCATTTTTACGAATTTCTTTTTTAGTGTTACACACTTCATTTCTGAAATTTTTCAAATGGCGAATATCAGACCAATTAGTCCGTCTAAGCCTCCCGAACGTTTGTTAAATCGACGACCAACTCGTGCATCTACTGCATCTACACCTCGTTCTCAAAGAAAGGTGACTATTTCGAAAACAATTCCAATTCCAGTACCGCCAATTAAACGTGTGCATTCGTCACGCATGCCTACTAAAAAAGGTTCGGTTCCATCCATAAACCCGTCTATACGTATGAATTCATGTGCAACTATCGCAACTAAATCAGATTATGATGAATTAACAAATAAAATGGCTTCTACAGCAATTACTGAATTACCTGCTATTAGACGAACTTCAAAATATACAGATACAAACATAGCCATAGCAAATAATCCTACTGCAGAAAATAATTCAGATAAAATAATTCCTACTCATCCAACTCAACAGCCACAAAATGATAATGCTATCGAGAGTGAAAACAATGAAAGGTCCTCGTCATCATCTGCTTCATCTACAACATCAGAATCATTGTTACCACCACAACCTCCACCGGTAGCACCAAGACAATTTTCTTTAAAAGATGCTCAATTAACAATTGAATCATTTGATATTATTCGAACAGTTGGCACTGGTACAATTTATAGATTTTTGAATAATATCAGAAAATTTTATACTCTTTTGTTTTGCCTTTTTAGGAACATTTGGTAGAGTACAACTCGTTCATCATCGTGGTACCAATACGTATTATGCTCTGAAAGCGATGTCTATTAAAAAGATTGTTGAATCAAAACAAGTCGAACATGTACAAAGCGAAAAAGATATTCTATTACGAATTGATCATCCATTTCTCGTACGTTTACAATGGACAGGACATACCAATTCTCTATTGTATCTTCTACTGGAATATTTACCAGGTGGTGAACTTTTTCAAGTGATGCGTAAACATGAAAAATTTGATGCTAAAACAGCTATATTTTATGCCAGTGAAGTTTTACTTGCCTTGGATTATTTACATCATTTAGATATACTTTACCGAGATTTAAAACCGGTAAATCTTTATTTCAATGTTTTTTGAAAAATAAATTATTTATTACATTATCTCTAGGAAAATATTATATTGGATACTGAAGGTCACGTTCGTCTAGTTGACTTTGGTTTTGCTAAAAAAACTAAAGAACGAACATTTACACTTTGCGGTACTGTTGATTATCTCGCACCTGGTTAATAAACATTTCTTCTTGTTCTTTTTTAATTTATATTCAAATTTTTTATTATGTAGAAGTCATTCAAAATCGTGGTCATCATAAAGCATCTGATTGGTGGGCCCTTGGCGTTCTAATATTTGAAATGCTGGCAGGTAATTATTTTTTTTTGCAAATTAGAACACATTTTTTTTTCAATGAGTTTACTAACTGTTGCCTAGGTTATCCACCATTTTATGATAATGATCAATTCGGTACATATAAAAAGATTCTTTCTGGTAGAATAGATTTTCCTCGTCACTTTGATTATGCTGCTAAACAATTGCTTCGTAAAATTCTTAATACGGATCAATCTCAACGACTTGGTGCAGCTAAAAATGGTGGTGATGAAATAAAACGGGAACAATGGTTTGTTAGCGTATCATGGAGCGATGTTTATGAGCGAAAAGTTGAACCTCCTATAAAACCAAAGATTACATCACCATATGACACAACAAACTTCGATGCATACGAAGAATTAGACATCAAACAGATACCAGCAGCGCCAAGATATGAGGTACAACTATTCAAAGATTTTTAATTTTGCTATTCGTTGTGAAATCTTATTAACGTATTTATTTGCTTTTTCTTCGGTGAATATACATGAATGCATTCCAGTCAGAAACAAAAATCATGTAAGCAGCAAGATGATGGGAATGATTATTATTTAACTTGTGTACTTGTTATGTTCATGCTTTGAGCTGTTAAATTTTCAAGTTTGATTTTAAAAATAATAAAACAGTTTGCAATGAAGTACAGTGAATGAATTGGAGTGTTTATATAGAAAAATATCCAGCAACAAAAGCAATCTCTTCATTTTTTCGCACTGATGAAAATCAAAAATATTTTTTATTAAAAACGTTCTTTAGTTTTCTGTAGCATATAGTTATTTTATTAAGGATCTGACTTAATTCAATAGTAAATGACGACTTCTTCTCCGTTTTATTTTCTAGGAGAATAAGGTCCTGTTTGTTGATGTATTTCATCAAAAAATTGCTATTGACTTTGAGTGAGAATTATTGATGTTACGTATGAAAAGTAATTTTGTACTATAGCATCTACTTGCCATATAAATTTGATAAGACTTTCGTAACTAAAATCTGCCATAGCGGAATAATAGATTATATAATTTAATTTATTCATTAGAAAATGGTGAGCTTTAGGAATTAATTTGAAGATCATATCATTAAATGTGTTCTACGGTTGAATGATTTTATTAATAATATATGGCATTTTTTGTGTGAAACTTAAAAGTTCGTTTGAGACTCAAGTATTTTTAGAATAAATCAAAATGGCGCTTTAACCTCGAAGATTCTTTCCAAGAAATCAAATGAATACTACGCAGCGTATGCAGCCATTATACTTGTTTTAAAGCCGAAAAAAGTACTATATGGTCGTATTACAGTTCATGACAACTTGTGTCAATAATGTAAAGTCGGTAATAATAACTCGGAAGCATTAAAAATAGACTGAGTTCATGATAAACAATAAACGAAGAAGAAGAAGAAGAAGAAGAAAAATGATTTCATTTTCTTTTCTAATGTTGAAATGATGCAAAAACAAACTAAATATATACGCATCTTGTAGACATGAGCACGCAACAAAAATGATTTGTAGGATTTCTGTTTTTATTAGAATGCAGTTTTTCTTTAAAATTGTGTCGGTACAAAATTCATCATCGCATTGTCTAACGTATAAATATAACAGAATTGATGTTTCCAATTTATGAATGCGTTCAGGTGAAATGCTTCCCGTATTTTTCAACGATACTCACATTTTTTATTAATTCCAAGCTAAAGAAAATTGATTAAAAAATTAAGTGAGACAGAAAAAAAACCAATGAGACGTGCACAATATGAGTTTTGTAGAATTCATTAGATAATGTGCTATGATAACTCTTGGCTAGAGATTAATAAATTTATTTTAATTATAGGAATGTGTCTAGTAGAAATCTTTATTAATTTTCATTGCCACTATTCCACTGTCTGTACTATTTTTCATCATAGAAAAAGCATATAATTACTAAAATTGCATTGTACTGGCACGATGAATGTGAACATAAAATAGTGCTTGATCAAAAATGAATTGAAAGTACTTAATCATGGACATAAATACGGTAACTACTGAAGAAGAAATGTTATTAACTAAGCAAATAGAATTTAATACACAAACAACGATGCATTTACTTGACTGAAGTCAAAAAAAGATTTCTTAATTTAGAACGGCTATTATACAATCAAACAGATGATTCGGTATGAGTTCGATTTTTAAGATTCGAAACTGATTGAGTGAATGCACAAGAGACGATTTAAAGATAGATACTTGATGTCTGTTTGAACTTTTCAATTAAACATCGGATACAATGTCTCCACGGAAATTATCTTATCAATTGACAAAATAATAGTACTATGAAGATTGCCTGTCAATTTAATTTTTTTGTAACAATTTTAAAATAATATAAAAGCACACTTTAGTAACTCCGAAAGAGTCTCCGTTAATCTCTACACTATTCATTATGAGTGTGTCACATTTAGGAATCCTGACGAATTTAAATCTTACCTTTTAGCTTTCATCAACTAATCCTATCTTAGAAGATTACCGTATTACGGGAAAAAATGCCAAACATAAAAAGCTATGTCAAAATAGTTCTTTAGACAAGATACATGTTATCCAATATCTTGCTTTTTCGTGATTGTTAATATACTTGGTAATATATTTAGCAGAGTCTAAACGTGTTTAACGAATACAAAATATGTCAACCGCATCATTCAACTTTAGAGAAATGTGGCAAATAAACTAAATGAAGAAAAAAAGCGATTTTGTTTAAACTTGTTGCTGCTGATGACACTTAGTGTATGGTTTTGAAATTACAACCAAAAGAACAAATTTTAATACCATTTCTCCATTTTATATGTAAAAAACAGATATCCTTTAATTAGTACAGTAATCAACAGTTGAATAGAAATTCCATTCGGAATACGAACAAAAAATCAACTGTCGTTTGTTTTCAAAAACTAAAAATGCCTATTTTATATTTGAAATTATTTCATAAGTATTTCATTCATATCTGAGCTTCATTGCTAGCTCAATCTTGAGATTTTCAAACGAAATTATCATCAATATGTTAACAAAATTATGCAAAAAATATTCCTTAGACTGAAAAGTTAGGGTCTAGAAGCCGTAATTCGCCTGTGTCTGTCTGTCTGTAACAAGGGCACAAAGGGCATTGTTATGGTACAAACCATGGATGGATGCATAACATGGCCACGTGAAACAGTCCGCTCTGGAGATGGGAGTCAGTGGAAGGGCGAGCTGATCCCCTACGGAATTTTGAGCTAATCATCACGAAATTTCTGAACCATATATTTTTGTGGGTAGGGTAAGAGTCAGGCTCTGCCCTCCTTAAGGACCTTTGAGTCTCATTTTGTCCGTCTTTCGTCTTCACTTTCAGTGCTTTTATTTGAAACCTTTAATTTTCGTTTAATTCTTACCTCAGTTTTACTTATTCTAACCCCTTTTACCGGTCTGTTTGAAAATATCATCACCAGCTGCTGGCACGAACAACCGATTTTCTGTCCTGTCCATGCATTTGTTCTCCTCAGTACTGTCAGTCGAGGTTCCAATGAATCGACTTTCGATGTCGATGAACGTTACTTATAGCATTTTAACTCAATATTGTGCTACTGGCCTCGGATTGCAAGTTTTTGAAAATGTAGGAATTAGCACAGGATCACACTTTTTAAAAATACAGGAAAAGGTGTAAAAAATCAGAAAAAAATAGGATATTGAAAATCCGTTGTTTAGATTCGAATTAAACGTTGTTTTAAACTTTTCCTGCATCAACTTAACATATGCACGAAATTTTTGTCAATATTTCATTCTAATTCTTTCTTAAATTAAATTAAATGAGTCAGACAGTGTGGGTAATGGTTTGTATGGTGTTTATACTCACATCAACCTACACTCACACCGAGTATGAAAATTTTCAAAAATCGTATTTTGAGTTTTTTTAAACAAGAAATGCTTTCAAAAAATATCAATGACAGGTCGTTAGTTGTAGAATTTCAGTCTCTACAAGCTGGCCTATTTTGTTTTGACTTTCGTAGCTAAGGACAATGTAAACTCTTATACGCTTTCTAACTCAATTTACCGTTTATGAGCTTCCATACAAATGTATCAATTTCCTTTTTGTGTATAACGATTAGTTACAAAGAAAAGACTATTTCTAATAAAAATCAAATAACTCTGATCATGTTAAGTGCTTCAAAATTGGTGAAGAAAAACTGTACCTCAACGTTACTAAAAACGTCACATTGTTTTCTTGCACTTTTTATCTAAGCAAAAGTAGCTTGGAGAAAACGATTTTAGTGTTTTAAAGTCTGGTCAAAAAGCACTACAAAACTAGCTCGAGAAGTTTTTCACTTGGAGAAATAGTTGCAGAAGAAATTGCAGCTTATTAGTGACCCTGAAGAAAAGAGTCTTTTTATGTCACAGTCAAGCAACCAAAACTCCTCTCTATAACCAAGAGACTTAATCCAAAAATGGTCATTTTATGGCATAAACATATCATGACAAGTTGCATCAAATCACGTTTGAACGAACTTTCTAACTCACACAATTTCCAAGATAATGAAAAACAAAGCGTGTCAAAAAAAGGTCACAGCGTTACGCTTGAACAAAACCATTTACGTAACTGCTTATGATAGGCAACAATAAAAGCTTTTAAAAAACACACAACTATTTATAAAGACTATTTTACTTTGTTTGAATATCTTTACTTAAAATAGTCAGTTATTTTCATTTAGTCCGTTTGATAATGTGAAAAGAAATTGTAAATAAAATAGAGTCCCTGTAAAAAAATTCTAAGAATACAAAACAATCAATAATTATCAAATAGATTTGTTTAAAAAATACGAAAATTATACTAAAACAAGAACGTTTTTTAGCAATTTTCTACTTTTTTTCCATTTTTATAGGAAATACAGGAAAATTCATCGAAATATAGGAGAAAAAATAGGAATTTTTTTAAATACAGGAAATATAGGACGAATTCGAGACCAGGTGCTATTAATAATAATTTGTCAGTGGTTGCGTTTATCACATATTGATTGTCTTTATGTTAAATATTGCATAGAAATGCATGCATTCTCTGCTTGACGCAATGACGTTATCGAATGTGAAGCGGTGGACCAATAGAATGCAAGCATATATTACTTTCATCAGCTGGTCGAATAAATCGACGTATGCATTGCCTCAGCAGCGATCATGATCAAATGAAGATGCCCTATAAATAGTGATCATTCACAATGATGATTTCATTGTATTCAAAATAATAAACTCAAAAAATCAAGCGATGAAGATATTGATTATTCTTCTTATTGCTACAACTGCTTCTACATTTTCTAACGCTGCTGAACAAAGTAAGAAATCTGATGTTGGAACTGTGATTGGTATTGATCTTGGAACTACATATTCGTGTGTTGGTATTTTCAAAAATGGCCGCATTGACATTATTGCTAATGATCAAGGTAATCGCATCAC